TCTGTAAATGCATCCCTCTGTAAATGCACGCTACAGCTCATTCCCGAGGGCGTGCATTTATAGAGGGTTGACTGTATCATCATTCGAATTCATCATTTCCCCCTTTTCAGACATCTGCTCACAAACCATTATTGTTTATGTCAAGTTGGTGTTCGAAAGCTAAGTAAATATCACTAATTTTCCTTGAGACCATCCACTTTCTATCCTCCAACAACCACACTTGAAATGAAGTATTGATAGATTTATAATAATGTAGTTAGATATATATTAATACAAGTGGCTCTCGATATAAGAACCTACGATATAAGAAAAATAGTCTATAAGAAAGGTTGTTGGCAGGTCCCGATTTTTACTATGAAAAATTTTGCTATATAAGAAAGTTTTATCATAAAGCTTGTGTCGAAATTTATACGAAGCCTCTCTCGATATCATAACACGCATCGCATCCTTTTGTCGTTTATTCTACTCAATATTATAGTAATAATAATAAAGAAGAGGATGCAGGGAGTATAACGAAGTATTTATCACAGTAAAGTTATCAGTAACATCAATCATATTCTCCATTTTATCAATCAATCAAACAAAAGATGTACAGTCGACCTCAAGCAGTTGGTGACAATGCAACTTTTGTTGGAAATGTGCTTTAGACAGATATGTGAAACAAAATAACTATAAGGTTTATCCCTATCAAATAAGAACTGGCGAACGCGTAAATTTTATTTCATATATCACAACCGTACCAGCTTCGTTGACAGAAATTTATTCCCATGAACAATACGAGGGATGCTTCTCCTTTTAGGGAGAGTTCAGCTACGACAGAAGACCATGTTACTACGGAAGAGTCAGCGACAGGGGTGTCTTGTCCGAATCAAATGGTACCCAATCTTGCTTCACAGTACCATTCACTATCATTCTATACAGCTCTTTTGCTATTACCACTTTGCTATCGCGGCTACGCTGCATTCAAACTCATTCAAATTTTTGTTGTCGATCATAACAGGGGAATACTTCTCAGACACGCCACCGGAACGTTGGAATTTCCTTGACTTTTACCGTCACCGGCACGCCTCATTTGATTTTACCCACTCTTTTAAAAAAGAAACTAAAAAAAATGCTTGATACTCTAAGACAAAGTAATTCTCCCGAAGTGCGAGAAAATGCTTGTCGCTTGATGTCAAAGTTTAAGGTCAAGATTCATCTTCTTAAAGCTAGCATAAGCAATATGGGTTCCCGCCTAGTTGGAGTAATATCAACTTCCACGACAAGGAAGTCATCTGCGTGATGGATCTTCCTTTGATCTGCGTGATCGTTGTGGCGAGCGAGACCTCAAGCGGTCACACATGACCCACATGAGAAGCTAAGGCATATTCTGCGCGATGCCGAAGTGACGAACTGCGTGTTCCTTGTGGTTTGCTGTGCTAGCCTTGCAGTCCACATTCTCTTTTTGCATTCCTATGTGAATATGCATTTTCTAAACTTGATTTATTTCTTTTTTTACAAGGATCACCGGAAAAACGCGTTTGGTGTCAACGACCTTTGGCACAACATCGAAACAGATTTCTTGGATAAAGTGGAAAGGCGTCGTTCGGTAAATAATCATGTGATGATTATGATTCTATTGAAGTTTTTTTGCTAACCATATATTCTTTTAAGCTAAGGTGCAGAGTGATCATAAAAGGAAAGACTCAACATATGATGGAGAATTTGGCAGAAGAAACTGTCGTTGAAAGTTGTACAATTTCCGCGAAACGTAAAAAAGAAGAGCAAGAATACGTAGAAGCTGATTTAACAGAAAGAGAAAGAGAGAGTACATGATGACTCTGAAAATTAGGGTTTATGCACAGCAACTGAGGAAAAAGCTGCAGAATTGGAAGATCTAGAAGTTCTAAAAGAAATAAGAAAAGCTGTTGAGACTGTTCGAAATGCCCCTTTAGGACATTTAAGGCATGTATCTGTTGCTTGTGCTTACTATATTATTAACAAAGTAAAAGGTCTTTATTTATCTTTCTCTAACAGCCCTATGTACTACCTCATACTTGATCTTCGTCCTCCGTTTACGGGGATGTTTGAATTTCGTGCGGCTGATTATATGAATGAATCGCATTTGAACATCATTGGACAAAGGGCTAAAGTTGCAATGAGTAGCAGGTTTGATCCACCTGATCCTGTAAAGAAGCTTCTCATTGCACTGGGAAAGGCAAGTCTCTGATTTGCTGCATAAACAAAGAAATTGCTGTGTTGCTAATTACATTATTGGCAGCTCCCGTCAAAACAACTTGCAGACCTTTCGAGCCATATGTGTGCTGAAGGAGCCGCTGGTCTTCTCACAAGGCTTCAAATAATGATGGACAAGTACTCAAGATGAAAGCGAGCCACCCTTGAACAACTGCTTAGGGAAGAACAGTCAGAGACACGTATAAGAAAAGTGGTTGATCTTCCAGACAATCAGATGCCAATGGACTTGGAAGGTGTCAACAGTGGATCAGAAGAGATACAATGGATTTTTTTTGTGCTTGATCAATGGTAGGTCACTCCTTATTTTCATCCTTTTATGTTATACAACATTAAAAAGTTTCACAATAATTGTCCAAAGCCCTTAAGTATGCATCCATATCTTTCTGTTTCTCATTTTTACTTTATTAATATCAGTCGACGCATCATTTGTTCCGAAGTGCTCTCAACAAACATGACAGAGCGTGATGTAGACGTCAACCTGATCAATCCTTTTTTCGATACTTTGTGGGAAGGCTTATATCTCCATTAGTATGATAGGTACAACATTGCATATCGAAGAAAATTCTAATAGCACTCTTGCATTCAGTGGTGAAGGTGAATTCGAGAGCATCACGGTACCGTCATGGAAGTTGTGGGGATCATTTTGATGGGTTGTTTGCTGTAAGTCTTTGTTGCACTTTCTCTCCCTACAATCTTCTTAGTTGGTGATTACATCTGGCTTTTAGTGCAATTCAATACTTCCAGATGATATTCGTGGCGTCGAGATGGGTGTTGCCGAGAATTCTGGGCCAGATCAGGTCAAAGATAGGGATAAACCTCAGAGAGACTTTATCAAAGCAACAAAAGCAGCTCGGGATCAGTTGCTTCAAGTTATCAAGATCATAAAAAACAAGCTGAATTCCGAGCAACTACCAAATATTTTCATGGAAGGCATCAAGTCATTGTTTGCTGTTGCTGTCCACATCGTCGGCTATCAAGTCAAAGCACACGTTGTATATTTCCTTGGCGGCAACGTTTTTGCTATCTCTGAAATAGGGTGTGCACGGATTCCAATATCTCTGGACAGAATGCATGACGCTCTGGATATGTTTCGTTTAGTGCTACGTATAAAGGTAAGATTTATCAGTCCCATAATTAACTCGTGCGATTTACAAGTCTTTTTGTTGATTTCAATTTCAACTTCTACAATAGACACTCTTGCTTCGATCAAAACAAATCCTTGAGACACTGTTTGAAGAGGCAACGATATTGAGACCTTCAACACCTACACATGCTGAGACAGAGCCATGGATCATGGCAGAATTGAAAACGCCTGAAAAATCGCGGAAGAAGGTAAGAATGAATAAATCATGTGATATGACTAACTATAATACTGTGTAACGAAAAAAAGGGCGGTGCTAATCAAATAAATAAAAAACGCGCTGTTTGATAGTAAACGCATCTTGTTTTCTAATAAATACTGTTCGGACAAACGAATTCAAAGTCAAAACAATTGTTCTATGCCCTCTTGCTGTCCGCACAACAGAACAAATGTGGTTAATACAAAGCTACATGCACAGCGCGAAACAATATTACATTACTGGTTGAACGGTACACGTAAATCCACCAAAAAACAAACATTCCCCTTCGAACGAAATATTAAAAGAAACAGGTTATACAAAGAATTACCAACGTATACCTAATGGCGAAATTTAAGAACAAAGGCTACGTGAGCTCCGTACTTCATGGAATGCCGATGCATGTGGAAATGCGAAAACAGGGTGAGCAGAAGCACATATTAATATGCAAGACAACTGGGAGCCGTACCGTCTTCACTGATGAGACTGCATTTCCGAAACTAAGTCCGTCGGTGGCATAAGCATGGAGTAAACCCCTTTCGGCGGCTACCTAAAACACGTCAGAAGGTTATGGCATGGGGTTGGGATCTCACTTATCATTTAACTGGTGTTTGCAACAGGACAATGACGTCCAACGTAGTAGCAAAAAAAATTTATTATCGAAAATAGGATTAAGGCAATCGGCTGGCCGGCAAATAGTCCCGACCTGAATTTTATTGAAAACTCGTGGCAAATAATTAATGATAAAGTCGAACGATGAATGCCGCAAAGTTGAGCAATGGAAGCAACTTTTGGCCGAGGAATGAGAAAATTCCTAATGAAACAGTAATCAATTTAGTATGATCTATAAAAATAGATACGAATTAATAATAGAAACAAATGATGATAAAATTTCCTACTAAAATTTTATGGTACATAAAATATTTTTAAGCTTTTTGCACAGTTTATGTAAATATCTGTTGTGCTAATCATACATAACTGTATATTTTAATAGAAATTGCATTAAATTTATTCTCCATCATTTCTCATCTGAATTAATAAATTTTGAATATACATACGTGGGCGGTTCAAAAAGTTTTGACACAAGAGGCTATCAAAATTTTATTTACATAATAAACATCAATCTAATTATTCTATTCTTTCAAAATACTCTCTTTTAACTTCCATACAACGTCTCAGCCTTTTACGCTGACTCTGAAAATACTCAGCATACT